AATGGTAGCAACTCAGTGTCATCTTCAATCCTAGCAGAGAAATTCTGTGCCCTTTCTGGGTCAAGCCAAAGAGGCCCTTAGGGTTCTCTGCTCCTGCATGGCACAGAGCAGATGAAATGGCTGCATAGTGCTCTGGGATTCGATGGAACTTTGCCAGGATCCCAGCCCCTGAAAGAAGAGGACAGACTGGGCCAGACATGAAGAAGGAGCACACTAGGGACCCCAGGATGGTATCTGAGACCTTTCCTGCTGGTGGGTGCTCAACAGATAGAACAACACCCAAAGAGCCCTGGAAACAGAACCCCACCCCATGCCTAGTCCCTCTACCACACTATGTAGAGCCTGGTACCTAAGCAAAATCCCAGAAAAGGATTGGCAGGGGTGAGGGCAATAATCTTGAATTGAATGAATAAAGTTTCCACCACAGCTTGAGATTGAATTTGATCTAATTATGCAAAAGAGGGATCCATTTCATGCACACATGGTCTGTGGGTTGAGTGTTGTGCTCATGGGATTCCGGAAGGGGCCTAGAAGACTGGCATCCTGGACCCTCACAGAGAAGAGAGCCAGCTGATGGATGACACGCAGCACAGCCTCTGCCCAGGGCCTACTCGTCTCCTCCCTTGCACACTTGTCCTATTGCAGACACCATGAAGGCCAGGTTTTAAATCCAAATCGGTGAAAAGCCTCTGCTTACTCTACGCCTCAAAGTATATCTCTGCCCAAAGCCAGCTTCTCCTTTCAAGCTTTCCCCCAAATCAGTTCTCTGACCACTTTCTCCACTCCTTGTCCCCTACAATTTCCTCCAGCCTCCTTCCTCTTGTTTTTACTGCCTATCCTATAAGGGTGGCACCTCCTTGACAGCATTTTTTAAAAAAGGTTTATTTTTATCAGTCCACGTTTGCCATACATAGCAACGACATTCTCGTGGGGAGTTTGTACATGTGGACAGACTCTTCATTCTTTTAACACACTCTTCCTTCCTCTCTCTCCATCTCATGGTCCTTTCCCCATGTGCAAAAGATCCAGCTCTCTGTTTCCTATGATCTATCTTTTATTTTGCTTTTCATCTATACTTTGGTTTTCTCATATAAGAGAAACCAAGTAATATCTAAGCTTGTGTGCCTGCTTTATTTCACTTAACGTTACAGTCTCATGGTGCCTCCATCTTCCTACAAACGACTCAGGTTTATCCTTTATTATGGCACAATAGCATTCTAGTGTGTATAAATACCACATTTTTAGTCCATTCATCTGTTAATAAACATATAGCTATTTTGAGTTGTGCTTCTAAAACATGGGGATGCATAGATCGCTGTAATATGTCTTTAACTCTTTCAGGAAGATTTCTAAAGGGGAATAGCTTGGCTAGATTTAATTTGTAGTTTTAGTTGTTTGAGGAATCTCCATGCTGATTTCCCCAGGGGTTTACTAGTTTACATTCTAACAAGGCAGAAGGGTTCCTTTCTCCCCACAGCTTCTCTATCATTTGTTATTATCTGGTTTCTTGACGATGGCCATTCTATCCAGAGTGAGATTGAATCCCGGCGTTGTTTAATTCACATTTCTTAAGGCGGGAGTTTCTTAAGCCCGCCCTTGGCCACTGGTGTCACTTTAGTCGCTCAGAATCCTGTCAGGAAAACCAAGTTTCACGGCAGTGCTCGTTTCTGAGGAGACTAGCTGTCCCCAGGGTGTATTTCCTGGGTTTAGACAATACTGATACCCTAATACCTAAATAGGTCACTTGGCTTTTTTCCTTTGGCCAGTGAGGTAATCAGAATCAGCCCTGAGCAAAAAGCTGAGGACTAGCACAGTCATTCAGAGGACCTGCAATGAAACGTATCGCGAATACAGGCTCTGGAGTTAGAGTTGCAATCTATAGTTTTGAAGCTCCACCTCCTAACTAGCCGTGAATTAACTAGGTGAGTTAATTAACTTCTTGCACTCCCATGTGTTCTTCTATACCTTAGGCCTGAGGTATGGGAATTAGTAAGTTTTGCTACTGAAGTGTGGCAAATACACAGCATAAGCTATTAGCACTGTCTTCTCTAAGTCCCAGCTTCCTTTTGAAATGATATGCTTATTGTTCTTCCTTGAAAATGAGCACAATAATTCCTACTTCCCATGGTTGCTGTAAGACCCAGGAGAATTAGCATTTCATCAGCACTGAAATGAGTAGGCTCAAAAGTATTTATTTGGGGCTTCTTCTCTTGAATCAAATCTTCAAAATACATTGTGCACATTCTTTTTTTTTTTCCTCTGTTTAGGCAGAAATAGGATTTGGACCAGACTTTGTGTCTCCCCAGTCCAGGTTTCTAGACTACATTTGAATCTCCTGAGTTGTCCTCTTGATGACCTAATGGGAAACAGGAGCCTGCTGTTGTCTGTCACTGTTCTTGTGTATCTCACAACCACAACACACAACCAAGCTGCTTGGCCATTTAAGACCTTTCAGGTGATGATAGATATAATTTACACCAAGCTTTCACACAAAGGGTTTGTTAAATCACAGACCTATAGGCTCCGATGCCACAGATCCTGATTCTATGGGTCTAAACTAGGACCCCAAAATTTGCATTGCCTCAAAATTCCCAAGTGATGCTGGTACCAGGGAGCAGATCGAGTAGCACTGGTCTACACTCACCAGTCAGAGCTTTTAATAATCTGAATCAGTCAAATACAGTTAACATCACCAAACAACTGATAATGGACTGAGCACCAATGCTTATCAATATAAGCATAAAAGAGCCACATTTTTACTACATTTTCTAGACATAGGTCCAAAGACCATAACAGTGGGAATAACAGGTATTTATTGAGTTTTGACTATGTGCCTTTCTTTTGTTCAAGTCCTTTATTCTTATTACTTAATTTTTACATTTTTATTTTATGACAGTCTTTAAAAAACTCAGGACTCGCTGGGTCATTCTCTGACCATCTGATATTGACATTCAAACTAACTGCCCTCACTTTTCAGTTTGTTAACAGCAAGAAGTATGACTCAGGTATGAAGAAGTATGAGAAACCCTGCTCCAGACAGCCAGACAGAGTTCCCCGTAAACCAGGATATCCAGCTTTCCCAGCACCACTTGTTGAAGAGGCTGTTCGTTCTCCAACATATGCTTCAGGCACCACTGCTGAGAAGCAGTTGGCATAGATGCATGGGTCATTTCTGGGACCTCAATTCTGTTGCATTCATCTGAGGGTCTATTTATGTGCTAATACAGTGCTGTTTTAGTTACCATGGCTCTGAAGCATGTTTTCAAGTCAGGTATTGTGGTGCCTTCATCTTTGTTCTTTTTATTCAAGATTGTTTTATTCAAGATTGTTTTCATCTATCCAGAGTATTCTGTGCTTCCATTTGAACTGTAGGAGTATTTGGTTTTGTGAAAAATGTCATTGGTATTTTGATAAGAGTTGCATTAAATCTGTTAATATCTTTCAGGGGTATTTTAAACAATATTAATTTTCCCACGAACACAGATCTTTTCTTTTATCTTCTTTCATGTCTTTCATTACTGTTTTGTAATTTTCTTTTTTTTTTCTTTTTTGGTTTTTTGAGACAGGGTCTCACTATGTAGTTTACACTGCTCTGGAACTCACTGTGTATCCCAGGCTGGTCTCAAACTTGCAGTGATCCTCCTACCTCAGCCTCCCCAGTGCTGGGATTACAGCCATGCACCACCATGCCCAGCTCAATGTAATTTTCATTGTAGAGGTCTTCCCTTGTTTAAATTTATTCCTAATATTCTTGATTTTTTTTGTAGCTATCTGAATGTGAATGATTTCATGGTTCTTTTCCAACAACTTCATTATTACGATTGTATATTAATTTTATATCCTACTTTACTGAATTTGCTTATCAATTCTAATGATTTTTTGAGCAGTTTTTAGGTTTTTTCCATATCTAGTGCCATATCTGCAAACAGGACTAATCAGACTTAATCCTTTTCCAATGTACATGACTTATAGTTCCTTCTCCTGCCTAATTGCTTTGGCTAAAACTTCCACTACTAGATTGACTAAGAGGTAAAAGTGAACATACTTTTGTATTACAGATCTTAGAGGAAACACTTTCAGGTTTTCCCCAATCCGTACAATGTTTTTCTGTGGGTTGTATATATGGCCACATATAGCCCGTTCAGGTACTATTCCTCTATGGCTAATTTTTTTCAGGGTTTTTTTTTTTTTTATCATAAAGCCATGTTGAATTTTAGCAATTTTTTTCCTAAATTTTTGAGAAGACCATGTCATTTTTACCTGTTTTTCTGTTGCTATGATGTGTCATATTTATTACTTTACAAATGTTGGCTCTTCCTTGCATCCCTGGAATAAATCCATTGTTGCTACAGTGTATGATCAAAAAATTTAACTTTTAAGATGAGCAAATGATCTGAATAAACATTTCTCAAAGGAAGAAATACAAATGGCCAACAAATATATGAAAAACTCGCTCAATATCATCGGCCATCAGAGAAATACAAATTAATACTCCGAGACTTCCTCACCCCAGTTAGAGTGGCTATCACCAAAAAATACAGCACTGCTGGTGAGAATGGCAGAGAAAGGAGCTCTCTTATACTGTGCATGGGAATTACACCGTGCATAGTATGACCACTACGGAGAACAGTCGGAGAGTTCCTCAAAAAACTAAAAATGTATCCACCCGAGGATCCGGTTATCCCCGCTCTGGATAGACGCTTCTCCTTGGCGTTTATTTTAAAGGTGCTAAGTTCATCAGCTTCGCTTCCTTTAAAACCAAAAACAAACAAAATCTACAACTGAGTAAACCTGACAGTAAATTTCTTACAGTGTATGAAGATTGTGAATATGAAAATGGTTACTTATCTCAGCGCTAAATACTTTAACAGACTTTCCACAGAAATCTAGGGCGGTCCAAAGGGGAGAAGGAGAAAATGGGAAGCGCTTCTGGTTCAAGAGGTTTCCACATCGCGGTAGCAGGGCTTTAACACAGAGAAAACTGCCGGTCAGCAGCTCACCTTTGCAGCCCTCACACGTCAGGGCGTTGTAATGATACCCGGACGCTCTGTCTCCACAGACGACGCACAGCTCGTCCCCTTTTATTCTCCCCGCTGAGGCGCCCATCCGGGGCTTCTTCGTTACGGGCATCTCTGCCACCTCAGTCTCTGCCTGGTACACAGTCTCAGGAGGCATTCGCCGGAGTTCGTAGACCCCAGGAGGGTACCACTCCTCCGGCTGCTGGGGGTAGAAGCCCAGGTTGGAATAATAGGAGGATGAGGAGATCTGTGGTTGAACTTGGGCGAACTGGACATTGCTGTATTGTGAGTATGGCTCCACGTCCAGGCTCTGTCCCAGAGGACCCGCTGCTGGCTCTGACAGCACACCTGAGCAGAAGGGACAGCGGGGTAAGGTTAATGTCGTCACTCTAGGACCTCGAGAGGCGCCTCAACTCGATGGTTCGGATTGTGGGTGCTAAGAATGAAATCTACACGTTTAGCTCTATGAAGTATAAAATCCACATATATAAACCGTGACAAGTATTATTAACTATATAAAATTAACTCTAACATGTGCACATTTAAACAACAGTTTATAAGCTCAGAAAAACACCTGCAACGTGGAAGACAGACCAAAGACATATCATTAATATGTAATACGCTCTAGTAAACTAAGAAAACTCAATATTCAACAGATTACAGAAAAAAAGAACAAAGGACACAGTTTTGTGAAATAAATGCAAGTGTTTTACAAACATATAAAAAGGTATGTACCTTTGCCAATAATTAATTCAAACTAAAGCTTCAATATAACTATTTTCATCTTCAAATGTATAAGGCTTTTAAAAGTTTGATAAGATTCACTGTTAGAAAAACAAACCTTCCTAGAGGACAATTTGTCAATATCTTTCAAGATTTAAACCTCAAATACCCAGCATAAATTCTCCAGTCCAGAAAATTTATTTTAGTGCTATGTCTGACTCTACATGAAAATGTGTTTTCATGCAAATAAAAATTCTTATTGCAGCAACTTTTTAAAACCATAAATTGCAAACAATTTAAACATCCATCGATAGGAGTCTGTTTAAAAAATGTTCCTGTTGCATCCCTACACTGACTTATTATGTAGGTGTGAAACAGTGATGCAGATCACCTTATATGATGGGATGAAAAGGTTCTTTCTACTACATGGAGCTATTTGAGGATGGCCACAGAACATGTGGGCATTCATGTGGTTATTTAAATGTGTATGTGTGTGTCCATATTTGGTTTTTTATTTGTTTTTTGGTACCAGGGATCAAGCTCGGGCCCTTGCGCTTGCGAGGCAGGTGGCAGAACCACTGAGCCAAATCCCTGGCTGTGTGTCTGTATCTGTAGGCAAGATAAGTGTCTGCATGACACATAAACAGGATGGGGCCGAGGATTTGGCTCAGTGGTTCCACCTCCTTTCTCACAAGCACAAGGTCCCGAATTCAATCCCCAGTACCAAAACAAACAAAGAAAAACAACAACATAAACAGGACAAGAGTAATTGTGGGATTATAGCAGGCAATATTACATTACAGTATATTCTGGGGCAGGAGATTGAACAATAATTTATTGTTTGTGACTTTTTCCATGTGCATGTGTTGCTTTAATTACTACAAAACAAAGAATTTTTACAAATAAAACAGTATCTGGAATCGGTCTTCCTGAGTTCTAACCAGACGCCTGCCCTATGTGTGTGCAGTCTGCAATTTCCTCAACATCTTTAAGTCATCACAATTTTCTCTTTATAAAATAGATTATAATAATACCTACCTGACTGGGTTGATGTAAGGATTAAATGAGATAATATACAGCACACACTTTGCTAAATTTAGTACATAATTATTCAGAAAATTATTACTGACCTTAACATGTGAGTGATCATTCCTACCACTGTTGCTGTTGAATGAGCTGCTTATATACAAAACCTCTAGGTCAAGAAAACCTACTAGGTTATGAAGATGTTTCTGTTTCCTGAAAACATAAAACTACAGCTCTTTAGAAAATAGGGAAATTTAAATTACTCAAATTACAAATTAGTAGACATAAACAAGAGATAAGACCATGTGTAAATGTGTCTGGTTCAAAACATTGTCCAACAAGCCTAGGTCAAAATTCCAGCTCCCCCACTCGGGATGGGGGGATTTTGAGCAATTACTTAAACAACTGTTGAGGCCCAGTTTACAAAAGGAGCTTGGGATGAAAGGATCTGTAGCAGAGGTTTCTAGACAATTGGGTGAGAAAATCGGTATTCACACTTCCTCACCTGAAACCCTGGGAATGAGATGGTTTTAGAATCAGCAATTCCTTGGATCCTAGCACAGTCTGGAGTGGGATTTACATAGCAAACTCAAACCCAGCCACAATTTCCTCAGGGATTTGTATGGGTGGTCACACAAGGGGGAACACATAACAAAATCAAATAGTTTCACATCCATTCAGGTCAGGTTTTGCTCTGAAGTGTGTACCGAACTTAAACAAACAAACAAACAAACTAGTTTCCAGCATTTTTGGAGCTTGGAATTAACAATTAGGGACAAGAATCTGTGCACCTATAGATGGAGAGCGCTCTTAGAGGTGCTGAAAAGATGCCTGATATTATCATTACTATTGCAATTCGCAGAAAACTTGATCATCTTTCTCATGCCAGACCCTCATTTATTTCTCACGTAGTCCTAGGAAGTAATAATATGATGCTCTCGTGTTACAGATCACAAAGGGTAAGCCCACACCACTCGTCTTAAGAAGTGAAGCATTTTCACTCCCACCTTCAGAAGGGGCTGAGGTTAGCCCTGGGGGGTTCTGACTGCCAAGCCCATGCCACGAATCATGATTCTCTGGGACCGTAGCAGATGTGAGATGCTTCTAAGACACGACAGGCCAAGTCTTCCTCTTCCTCTGCTCTCTGTTCTTGAATCTGTCACTCCCGTCAATGCCGCTGCTGTGTGTAACCCACAGCAAGGCCCATGGGGCTCTGCAGACCCATGCTTTCTTGTCCAGCCATTTCCCATGTTCCCACTCCTCTGCTCCTTTATTTTGTAATTTTTTGTTTCTGGTTTGTGAGACAGGGTCTTGCTATGTAGTTCAGGCTGGTCTTGAACTCACTATGTAGCCCCGGCTGCCCTCAAATCTGAGGCAACCCTCCTGCCTCAGCCTCCAAGCGCTGGGATGACAGGCACGTGCCACCATGCCTGGCTCTTCCCTTGAATGCACCTTGCTGCTTCCTCATTGGGGCTTCTCTCACAGGCTCATTCCTGAAACTGGGATGCTTCTCAACATAGGTGCTGCCTTCCAGACCTTCAACCCTCTAATCTCCTCCTGTCTAGAAATTTTGCTGTAAGTCTTGCTTCATTTGGGAAATCTCCTCGCTCCACATCCTGGGAGCCATGGTTCTGAATCTAATTATGCAGGGTTTAAAAACCATCACATACTTATGCTGCCTGGGCCTCATAGAAGACTTGTGCTCTCCTAGTTTCTTATTCCTAAAATGTCTGTAAACATAGAACTAATAGCTTCACGCCTCAGAACTCAAGACCTCTCTACAATGGCACAAATGGAACACACACACAGTAAATGAATACATTCTGCACTGGCCCAGGAAATGACTGCCACAGCACACAAAAAAGAATATCTGAAAAATTCAGTTTCCATTCTCAAGCCTGACTTACCCACATAAACCAGCAGAGAAGTCAGTACACCTGACAAGCAGAACATTTCAGTAATGCAACCACCAAGTGGAAGAAGAAAAATACAGAGTGGTTACAAGGAAGAAAAGAAAGGATAAAATGTAACAAAATCCTGAGCCACTTCATAACCAAATGTGAGTGAAGTCTCTGGGCAAATAGGATTGAAAAGAGCTACAAAATAGTTGAAACACTGATTTCTTTTCTTCTTAGACTTTATCCTCTTCTTCCATCAGCTGTCCTGGTTCTCTCTATCACAGGTTTAGTTCGGTTAAGCAACCTGCCCAGGACCAAACAATCAAGGATGGAATCTGGATTCTGCAGAACTCGTGAAAATGGGTAAATTTTTTCCCCTCACAACTCAAGATCTCTGAGCATCACTTTAGCAAAACAAACATTTCCATAATCAAGAAATGCAGGAGAGTTCCTCCTCCAACCAATGATATCAGTGTCATGTTAATCTCTGGCATCCTCCAGAATAAGGCAGGAAGCTTTTTACAAAGACATAGATAGTAGCATACTAAAACAGTAGAACATGGCAGATTTGAAGACGGCATACAGTAACATTAAGTAACACTTTCCTTTTCAAAACACACCCATTTCTAGTTTCATGGTGCTCACCACATCTCTACAAAGTACAGAGTAAATATGTAGGCAGCTTCCAACCAAAGAAGCAACACATTCCAGAACAGTTGGACCAAAACACCTTCTGCTGTCAACCAACCGTCAGGGCTTAGACAACGGCCTACCCTTTTTGTGTCCCAATTTATTCTGCAAAATGGAATCTCAGCCTTGCTGTGTCTTAAGGAAGTCCAAGCGTCAAATGCAGTTGTTGAGAAAAAGCTCTGCTAAGTCTGGTGTCAGTAATGGATATGCTGTTTCCTAATGAATGTACCAAAATCCAGATTCTAACAATGGCTGCTTAGTAACTATGATTAACATATGGTCTGTTTCCATGATACAAGTATCAGGACAGTTCTTTCATTATAAACATTATAAACACTTGTTATCTGGCAGATATTGTTAGGCTCTGAGGATACAACTACAAAAAAGGATGATGGAAAGGAAACAAGAGAGAAGACAGAAAAGGTCCCAGCCCTTCCCTGGCATGGTGGGAGATGGGACTATCAAGAACTAGGTCAAAAACAAGTAAATCAGGACCGGGGATTTAGCTCAGTGGTTCCACGGCCTGCCTTGCAAGTGCAAGGACCCAAGTTCAATCCCCGGTACCAAACAAACAAACAAACAACCCCAAGTAAATCAGTAAACAAATACAAAACTTCCAATAGAGAAGACGTGGGAGGGATTGAACCCTAAAGCATGTGAATTTGGATTCCCTTCTGACAGGAAGTTCTCCGTGACAGTTTAAGAAGGGATTCTTAAATGGGAATGCACGCAACAACCACTCCAGGGGAGTCTAAGAACCCCCGAAAAGGAAAGCAAAATACTTCTGCAAAGAGACCCCAGCTTTCTGTTGATTCTCTAAACGACCACTATCCAAAGTGACAGAGAAGGACTCTGTAGCTACCAATATGGCAGCCACTAAGCACACGAAGATATTAAATACTTGCCGTGGGCCCACGGATACCAAGGAACTAAATTTTAAATTTTGCCTAATTTAATTAAAATTTAAGACTAAACAGCCACATGTGGCCCCTGCCTGTCAAATTAGACAGT